AAAAAAAAAAAAAAAAAAAAAAAAAAAATTATGTCAAAATTTTATATTTCTTTTCTGCTGATGAACCATTAAGATGTGTGGATGAGATTCATTGTTTTGGAAATCAAACCAAAACAATGAAAAATTTTATGTTTCTTTTCTGCTGATGAACCATTAAGATGTGTGGATGAGATTCATTGTTTTGGAAATCAAACCACTGTACAGTTTATGTGAGTAAAGACAGCTGGAGAGAATAAAACAGATGCGGGGTATTAGCATATTCCATAAGTAATCTACAAAACTCAATTAATGAATTTTTTCATAGCTCCTCCGTGTTTAGAACTAGCTCTTGTTAGCAACTGACTGGCACAATACGACTCATCATCATCAAGGTGCGACGTATTCTGCATACCTTGGTAACAAGCGGTTATTTAAAGGTAATGTTGTCTTTCTATCAACTCATTCCTCTCTGTCCATTCGCTTCTGATATCAACAAGGCATTTTTTCCAACAGTCGTTCATCTGATTTTTTCCTCTATTTGTACAGAAAAACACCTATATGTTATAACCCCAGTAGATCTCTGCTTTCTGAATAGTCAGACCAGCAGCAGCAAATTACTTATGTGCAATATACATTCTAAAAACATTCATTTTGTTTGGCAAGTGACAGAAGACCCAGCAAACACAGCCCATGTGAGTGTATGTGTGTGAGCGGGCGTACCTCTGCGCTGGGTGTCACAAGCATGAAATATGGTATCGAGCAGATTCTCTTCGCAGATGAGGCTGATTTCTGCCATGTTTCTTCCATTTTCAGAGTTAATCGACATTCCTGAAAGAGCTTGAGTACAACACACACCAGACAGAGTGTCCTGAATTATGCAGCGCGGCAGGCACATGATTTCCCTTTAGGCACAGTAGCAAATAACAGTACAATGACCAAACACAGTTTCTGTTAAATTTCACCAAAAAAGTACAGAGGTGGAGGATTGGTAATTACTTATTTACTTAAAAGAAAATATTAAAATTAAATATCTAGATGATGAACTGTAACTGGATCATTTCTTCCTAATATCTCGTAAAAGAATTTTCATGTCAAATAAAGTGATTGGTGCTAGTTTTGTCTTTGATAATTATTTAAAATTTTAAATTACACAAAACAAAAATAGACTTCTGCTTCAAGTTCAGTCAATCAAAAAGTCCAACAGCGAGTTACCAAACACTTTCCACTTCACCCTAATAAAAACCTGAACGAGAATAAAATAATCTTGTGAAGTTTAGACGTTCACATCAACAGGGGAAAGGTTGTAGAAGTCAAAGCTGCCACAGGCTCCTAATCCCCACCTTGTTTTCATATTTATTTACATGCAGTTATCACTCTATAAAAATAATCAAGCTTCACTTTGCATGTTAAAGATGAAGGGAACAGTGAGGTAGAATTATTTTACCTTCTTTACGGCATTCATTTGTTTTCTGAAGTCAAAAGAGGCTAACTTTATTGTAATCTCCTTTGTTCACATTATAAGAGCTGGGCTGTATTTTAAGATTAATATGGAGAGTCATATGACTAAAATGCTTTTAACAAGGAGATGCTAAAACTTTCTGCTATGTCTAGAGATACTTAAAAAGCATTTGTGGTTTAGAAATAATTTGAATATTGGTTATTCAATATAACCAACCCAAACTAACTTTCCTAAGGGAAACAACATTTGAAGTTCACTTTTACTGCTATATTAGTTGGCTTTGCCAAATCCATTTTAGTTTTATGGTCTGCTAGAGTGAAACTTAATACTTTTGTGTGCAATTTAGATCCACAAATGTGACAGTTTTTCCCCCCCCCTGCAAAAGATACATCTTGAAAAAGAATATATAACTTTGGGCAAATTAGTACTCATAATAACTAATTATTATAATGATGATTAAAAAAAAAAAAAAACAAGGTAACAAACAATTCTTAGTTTCTGAAAGCCAGACGAATCTACTTTGGCACTCAGACTCTGCCCCCTACCTCCATCTCCCATGGAAAGTCTTTTCACAACCAGTGCGGGGTAGGGCAGTTCACACTCTGCCGAGTTCGCTGCGTCTGCAGAGCAGAAGTTCACGTTGTAGGAGAGGATGCTGTTCCTCGACGTGAAAGTGCGGGACAGAGGAGGACTCAAGCTCGAGCTCTGGCTGTCGCTCTCAGACTGCGCCGGGTTTGGCCCTCGGGTGAACGTGAAATAAGGGGAGTCCCTGGACTGGCCTGTGGGTGTTGAACAATACCTCTGCCATGTCCTCACATGTTTTAAATCACTCCCATCAGCACCTCTCATCTCTCCCAGAGTGCTTGTGATTGTGTATGTGACATTAGCTGGTGTGGATGGATTGCATTTGGGAGATGAGAGGGGTACGTAGGAACCAAGGCCACTGCTGTGGGAGCTTGGCATCCCCATCCCTTTAACCCTTTCCTCCTCGTCTCTGAGGACGGCTCCTTTCTTCAGAATGGCTTCCAGGTTGTGCCTGAGGCCGGACTGAGGGCTGTCGTAACTGCTGGAAGAGAGTTTAGGGATCTGGAAGGGTGAATTGGGTTCCCTGTCACCACACCACTGGATGGTCTGAAGCTTGCGGCAAATGCTTTCCACGGGGTTGTGCCGACGTGAAGGATGAGGCGTGCAATAGTCCACGTTGCTCATGGTTTGGGGGAAGTGCCGAATTCCTTACTAGAGGAGAGGGTGAGGTCTGGGGGATAGAAAAAAAAAATATTTATGCAAAAGTATTCATGCAGTTTGAACTTTTACATTTTGTCACATTTACAACCCAATTTTACACCAAACGTTAGTGTAATCCGTGTGAAGAAATGTTACCAGATGATAACAGTAACATGTGAATCTGACAGAGATTACTTTATGTTACTCGTTTTTTTCTTACACATTTTAAAGAGGACAAACAAGGTGGCCTCGCGACAGGTCGAGATCAAATACATTTTACAGTATCTGGTAAAGGTTGACTACAATGAACAAATGACTGTGCCATTGACTAAGGCCATTAATTAGTTTTAATCGTGGTTAACTTCCTGTTAACCTGGTCTGAATAAGGCTAGTTACAAATCGCCATGGTAACTTACGGGCTACTGCTTTTTTAGAATTAGCTTCTTCCCGGCTTCAGTGCAATTTTAAAAGCAAACTAGTTAAACCTTTGTCTAATATTATCCACCTGACTACTTTCTTCAATTGTATTAGAATTAACTGTTCCACTTGTGTTAGTTGTTCTTCCTGGCTATAATATTCCAATTAAGAAATACAAGTTTATACAATCCTCAAACTGCCAAAGCCTCTGAACTCGGAGGTCTCCTTTTTGAGTTGTCGTGGTTCCTGGATTGTTAATTTAACAAGAGATGTTCAAGGATGTAGTTACACGAGATAAACTGTAGATTTAAAATGACAGGTGTCAGAAGCACACAGAGCAGAGGAGAAAACTGGTCGAGATAACATAATAATGGAAGCCAAAATTAAAAGTTGTTAACCCTGGCAAGCTCCCAGGGATGTTTCTTTTGTCCTCCTGGTCAAATATGTAAAGCAGGTGCGCAAACCTGCTAATTAATTGACCTGAATTTGTTATTTCACTGCTATTTTTCCTTGCAATGTAAATGTATGTTTGTTTTTAAAAAAAAAGAAGATTTAAGTCAATAGCATTAAAACGGCAATATAAGCGTCTCACTAATAAGCAAAACCTATTTTCTAAAGTTATTTTTTCTCATTTTCGCCGAAATGTAACCAGACATTTAAAAACATCTACCTCAAAATAAAGACTGCATGCCTGATTCTTCAATTTATGCGAGAATGTAAGTATATGTATTATTTTACCTTTGTTGTCTCTTCCGAGCAAATATCCACGGAGGAATAATGAAATGTTTGGCGAACTGTCCACACAGACAAATCGAGCACGCGCACAAGCAGCTCGAGACTGTCAGAACTAAAACCTGCTTCAGAATATGAGTCAGCAGCTCCTCCTTGCGGTACGACTGAGACATTACACCCAAGGAAACGCTAAGATTTGGATAACGGGATGTGTCCGAGATGAAACTTTAACATTTTCGTCCGGTTTTGCCAACAGTTTTTCCTTAGGCATTTGAAGTATGTCAGATTAAAACGTATGACTTCCCTAAACCTCACTAATAACCCCCAGGGTGTTGGTGTGATGAAGTATGTCAGAGTTGGTAAATTTGTTTCTGAATGTATACATCACAACGATGACACTGCTTCCCCTCGAGGAACCAGTAAGCTGTTTAACGTCAAGGTGCACAGTGTTTCATTCCATCACCACGCCTAAGGCTAGGACAGATCTCCTCATCTTAAGGTAAATTAAAAACATCTTAACTTAAGCTAATTACACTTTTGACTGGATTGTCTGTGAGATAAAATAAATAAAAGTCGGAGTTCCTTTTCTGAAATAAGGACAAGAATGTTTGTTTATATTGGAAACCAAGATGTGCCATTTGTTTTTCTTATCACATTTGTGTAACTTCTGCTTACATTTGCATTTAGTCATGGCTACGTTTTGACTATCAATGTAGTATATCAAACATATAGCAGAATGCTTCCAGTTCTCATAATTGCTTCAGAATAAAAAGACTGTGAAGGAAAAATATTTATCCACCTGTAACCCTAAATGGCCTCATACAGCTATTAGGGGGCTCCAACTTTGAGATACTTGTGAAGTGGTAATATTTCGGCATTTCATTATTGCTAAGACTGTTAATGTTTCTTTCAGACAATAAACTACACCATGGCTGGCAGCAGTATTAGCAGCTTTAAGGTAAAGAAGTCTGCTTTGATGGTTCAGAGAAAGTGATTTTAGTAAAGAACTAAATCCTATTATAACTATGAACTTAGCTCACTTACCCTCAGTAGCAGCTCCAGGTATTGCATCTTCATGGTTCCCTGACTCCTTCACACTCAAAAGTCTCCCTTGTTGACCAACATGGAAGTTATTACAGCACCACTGCTTACCCTCATGTTGCCCAAAGCAGCCCTGAAAAGGATTTAAGAGCCACTGTCTTCCTATTGTGACAACAAGCAGATGAAAAGATAATCCGAAGAAATGGCGAACCTCTAAGCAGACTGCAAACAGAAGACTCGAGCCTCTTTTTTAGGCATGTGATTCAGCTTTCGGCTTCATGTTCATCACAGTAAATGCCCATTCTTTCACAGGTGAGGAGTGTGTTTCCATTGTTGCCCATGTCCTCCTGTTGCTCCTCTGCAACCTGCTCAGCAGAATCCACTTTCCCAGCTCACGCTAAGTCGCTGGAGCTTTGCATGTTTTCTGACCCTGAACGTCTGAGCGGGAGACAGCAGGCTCAGGTGGAGATTAGACATGTGCAGACACTCACGGAGACATGCTCTCCCAAGGAGAAGCGTTGGCTTCGGTTTTGCGTGTTTGCTTCACGGCCTTTAGAGCTACACAACATACTGAATCAAAATCTTGAATGCAGTTTCAGTGTGTGCAATATTGCAACCATAAGGGAGTGATTGAATCCAATGTTTAGCTATAATATTTCAAACTCTGCTTACTGAGTAGACCAGCTGAATGGACATTTAGCAACCTTTATGCCAACACCTGACATAGATCTCAAATACCAAAATGTTAGACCTCAAGTACTCTTTTAATGGTCCTTCAGTACTTTGCCTAAGAGTTTGTACCCCCAAACCTTTTAAATGTCACTTCAGTCCTTCTTACACACTCAAGATACTCATCAAAGGTAATAATTATAGCTACATAATCCTGGCCAAACTCTGACTGGACTGGGAGTGATAATAGCGGTGATAGATTAGCTCTCATGTGGAAGCGTAAAGCTCTGTTAATGGCCTGCTGTGGCCTTGCAGTATTGGACTGATTGTTGTGAAGTGCAACAGTCAATTTATTTAAGTATATCTGAAGAAACATGATAACTGTGAGGCAAATAATTGTAAAGCAGAAACGGTTTGGAAAGACACCGGCAGTACGCTCACTGATTCCTTACAAGTGCTGTACTTTACTGTAATCTGGGATTAGGATGCAAGGAACCTCCTGCACCAGGAGGGAGAAGATGGAGGGCCGGCCTAATCCCAACAGATAGCTGATGCCTGGCCAACTGGAGGTGTCTCTTTCAAAGAGGGATCATTGGATTCAGTCTTGGAAAACAGCAGGAAACCGCAACAATCCCTCTTATCCTTTTGTCTGTACTGCAGAAGAAACATTTGCAGTTTTGCTCCTCAATTCCAAAAGACCCAAAAAAGGAAACAAATGCAACACTCTCAGTGAGAAAGTTCAATTCATCTGAAGTCTGGCAACTCCAGTTTTTGCATTTTTGTTGTATCAATCCCCATACTCCATATGTGCCTGTGGGCTGGTGTGTTCAGGGCAATGGCTATTGGTAGTTTTCTTCTACAGAAGAAGACCTACAACAGGAATACCTTCTTTCCTATATTTGCTTCTTGTTGTTGACACAACTTTAGTGAAGAGCGTGGAGAAGGAATGAAATGACAATTGCAGTTAAATGTCGATAAGACCAAAGAAACGGCGGCCCCTTTCAGCCGCACAAAGACATACGGTTGGATCTCCATCTCAGGAGCCGATGTGGTGCTAGTCAAATCATACAAATGCATTGGTGCTACCCTGGGCTGAAAGTTGTAGTTGACCACAAACAACTGAGGTACATTCCAAAAAAGACAACACTTTCCATCACCAGTGACCAAGTCCATATTCAAGCCAGTGGTGTGCTGGGGTGCCTCAATGAAGCTGAGGGACTCTGACAGACTCAATAACCAGGAAGATAACTGGAAATAACTGATAGAGTAGCTTTGTTTTTTTCTCTGTTAATTCTTACTGCTCCATTAGGCAGCAGACCTCGTCGTCCAGCTCTCTACCAGTCTGAAGACGAAGCCAGATGTTGTTGACTTTGGGACAGTCTTCACAGACCACATGCTGACCGTGGAGTGGAACGCCAATGATGGCTGGCAGACTCCCCTCATCAGGCCCTTTGGGGACCTTTCCCTTCACCCAGCCTGTTCAGCACTGCATTACGCCGTCGAGGTACGCAGCCTCGCAGAAGTATCCACGCTCATTGAACTATTTACATTTTTACCACCTTGGACAGAAATTTAACGTTCTTAACTTTCTGACAAGACAATAAGGTTAAACATACAATCAGAACCACAATGGAATAGTTTAGATGAATACATATCTGGTCCAAACCAGGCTCAAATCCAGTTGAGGATGTGCGAGAACACTTTAAAACTAATATCCTCCATTTGTGACGGAGACATTTGGCCTTTGCAAAAAAGAATGGACAGAAATGTCAACCTCTAACTGTGAAACATCTGAATACAAATTCAAAGACGAGTTCTTTTCTTGACCTGACTTTTTCTTGTATACCCAATATGATGTTTCTGATTACATTTTAATCATTTTCAATATGGTCTTTCTTCTAATGAGCTGTTTGAAGGCCTGAAAGTGTACCGAGGTGATGACAAGCGCCTCCGCCTCTTCAGGCCCCTATTGAACATGGAGCGAATGTCAAAGTCTGCAGAGAGAGCTTGTCTACCTGTAAGATGGACAAAACAAGGAAACATTTTTATTTTATAGCAGGTCAAAGGAAAAGGATGGCTGGTAGAGAATAAAAATATATCTCTGGTCTTTTTTTTTTTTTTTTTTTTTTTTTTTTTTTTTTTTTTTTTTTTTTAAAAGGCCTTTGATCAATCAGAGTTGCTGGGGTGCATCAAGAGGCTGATAGAAATCGACCAGGACTGGGTGCCTCATTTAGGTCCAGCCTGTCTGTATATAAGACCAACACTTATCGGCACTGAGGTGAGCAGAAGTGTAGTTTTGTCAAATTCCTTCCTGTCATAGATGCTCTAAAATCTAAACAGTGTGTTTCTGTGTTTTTGTTCCCACCGCAGCCTTCTCTAGGGGTTAAGAAACCTAACCGTGCCTTGCTGTATGTAATCATGTGTCAAGCCGGCTCTTACTTCAACACCAAGCTGTCTCTGTGGGCCGACCCAAAGTACACACGGGCCTGGAAAGGCGGAACTGGAGACTGCAAGATGGGAGGGTCGGTACGCGCAAACGGTGCTTTTGGTTTAAAATCCATTTAATGCCTTACTCCTAAGCAGATTAAAGCACACTGAAGATAATTTTAGCTAAGCTACAGTAATTGTTTTGGATTTCTACAGGAACTATGGAGGGACTCTCTTTGCACAGCTTGAGGCGGGGAGTTATGGCTGTCAGCAGGTGCTGTGGCTGTACGGAGAGGACCACCAGATAACCGAAGGAGGAACCATGAATATCTTTCTACACTGGATCAATGAGGACGGAGGTCATTGGACCTATACTTGACAGTACTCATATCTATGTTTTAACTTTCTGAAAGGTGAAATAACAGCTTATTTTGATTAGATGAGGAACTTGCAACGCCACCACTAGATGGCACCATTCTTCCAGGCGTCACCAGGCAGAGCATCCTGGACCTCGCCAGAAAATGGGTAAGAAATACCTTTAGTAGAGAATGGTGATTCAAAACCTTATTTACGCTCTGATACCTAATTGGACAAAAAAAAAAAAAAAAGGTATTCAGTTAAATTTTAGAAGAGATGATAAACTTTAAAGGTCAGCATTCGGGTTTCCTGAATTCCTGCTGCTCTGCTTCGAAGGATGAGTTCAAAGTGTTGGAGCGATACCTGACAATGGGCCAGCTGTGCTCGGCTCTGAAGCAGCAGCGTCTTAAGGAGATGTTTGGCTCTGGCACTGCCTGCAGGGTCTGCCATATAGGAAGCATTGTGTACGAAGAAAAGGTAAGAAATTCACAAAACTCTTCTTCTAGTGTAAAATAAGAGACCAGCTAGAGAAAAAAGCTAGGCCTTTAAGCCTCCCAGAGTTAGCACATGATATGTCATTTTATATGTACTGGGAGGACTTGATGAATCAGCTGAGCCAGAGTTTAGAAGAGAAACAGAAATTTCAGCTTCAAGGAAAGTTTCACTTTTCACAACAAAGCGATTGGTTTCAGTAGATGCTTGGTAAACACTGTTCAGATGTGTTTAGCTGCTCTCCATCTCTTGTTATTTTGCTTCAGTGTATCTCAACATTTTTACAACTTTGTTCTTGGTCAGAAATTTTGGACTCTGGCTGGTTTTTCCACACATTTCCAGCCGAATGTTTGTACCAGAGACACTGCTACGGCCTTTGCTCTTTGCTCTGTTTTTATGCTCATTCATTATTTTGGACAACCTAATTGCAACGTGGTTAATGTTAGCATAGCATATAACTTTTCCCTGACCAGTATGTTTGGGATTTCCCCCCCCATAACTAGATGAAATTTGAAAGTGGCTTAATTCCCCCCCCCTACTTTTGTCTGACATTAAATTTTGATTAATGATCTCAAACAATAATTTGTGACAAAAAAAAGCAAAAATGGAAGAAACTTTGCGACAGACAAATCTTGTTTTACATTCATTTCTGTTCGCAAAGTTAAGAAACATGTTTGTCTAAAGAAAAAGAAAACAACAATGAATGAAAGTACAGAGAAGCTGTGAAAGTCAACAGATGTTACAAGCCAAGATTTGTTTTATATACAAAGTCATTTTATTCATTATTATTTAAGTCATTATTATTATTATTATTATTATTATTATTATTCTCAGTGGATAATGTACAAACCAGTCCCCTAACACCATCTAAGAACTGCAGATAGTAAAGTTTAATGTGTTAAAATAGAGCTAACCTATACAGACAGCATCAATAAGTCATAATGGGAGAAATATGTCCTAGTGTTTCTCACTTTACTTCAACAAATCTTTTATTTCCTTTTTTTTTTTTTTTCGAGGTAAAGTAAGAGCTTTCACTCCAATTTTCTTTTGACCAGTTTTCCCAATAAGATCCTACATTTTCACTTGGCATATTCCCAAATAGTTTTTCCACAGAAAGATCTTCCATTTACAAATTACAAAAAAAATAAAATAAATAAAAATGTTCTCTGCTGTTCTGCACGACACATAATCACTTAAAAAGTTGCCGCAACTCTGCGGAGAAAAAAAGAGAAATGCTCCCACAGGGTCTAATTGTGTGAGAAAAATACGTCTTAAAATTATGTATCTGCTTAACAACATTGGATAGGGTTGGTACTCCTAATTTTCTATCAATAAAATATGACTCAATATAATTCAAGCTTGTGTTTTTCCAGAATTTGCAGCTCCCCAATCAAGACGAGCACTCGTTATCTTCAAGGATTGCAAC